CTGGCATTGCTGTAGAAGATAGATTTCTCTTGAATTGAGAGTTAAACCAACAGTGATTTACTATTTCATTTCTTTTCAGAAGGACATTCGGTCTACATTCTATGAAATAAAACACCTCGAACCATGTCACCATAACATGAATTTAAAATATTATTCTCATTTTTATATAGATTTAAATTAAGGAGATGGTAGACTAGAGTATAAATTTTAGATAGCTAATCTGTTATTTTCTTTTTCTGAATAGCTTTGAGGGGAGAGTCCAACTGCTACATTTATTTTTCTCATCTCTCATATCACATCTCACCTCACATCACATCTCACTACCACCATATTTTGGGAGAATTGTCAAAAAGATGATGCAGAATAAAACAAGACCATGATGCAATGTAGTCTCTATTTTTCATGACACTTGCCTTCCTAATTCATATTTGAAGAGATGGATGTAATTTCTAACTGTTAATCTGTTTTCACTGCTGTTTCTAACTCATAGAAACCCATCATTTTTCTTTCTAGAAGAAATTAACTTCAAGCACAATCTTACGTATGTAGTCTTTATTTTTGTTTTCCATATTGACTGACTAAGCTGACATAACCATTCCTTTAACAACTTCCTTTTCCAGTTTTGGTAGCATGAGGCAAGTTTATATGAGAGTCTCTTTGAGGTCAACTAATTCTAATTTATTTCATATCCTTCAAATATATCATCCACATCCTCTGCAGAATTCTCTGAACTATTTATTGTAACACTTCCCTGATTTGGTCCTGGCCCTGTTGCCACAGTATCTATCCTAAGCTTTCTCAAGGTTCCTCACATTTCCTATCTCAGTCCATAGAGGCTAGAAGATATCCCCTGATGTCACTGCATAGCAGTAGGCCTGCACTGAGAACGTAAACCGTTTAATGCCCTCCATCAGTGGTGTCAACAATGACTTCCATTCAACAAATATTTATTCAGTGACTATTTATAGAGTGGCTAGAATTTAAACACTGTTCTTGGTGCTGAAGACACAGCAGGGAAGAAAAGAGACAAAAGCCCTGCCTTCACAAACCTCACATTGCAGTTGGGAGGGGCTGACAAGAAGTAAACAAATAATCAATTATCTCTCAGATGGTGATAAGTGCACTAAAGAAATAAAAGGCAGGGCAGGGGCACAGAGACAATTCTAAATAAGACAGTCAAGAACATCTTCTCTGTTAGAGTGACATTGAAGAAAATTTATAAATAAATTGGGAGTGAGCATGGAGGAAGAAAATTCCAAGAAGAAGGAATAGCAAGTGCAAATTCACTGCAAAAGAAACATGTTGTTTTTGAGGAACTTCAAGGAGTCTAGCCAGGATAGAGAAGAAACAAGACATGAAGACAAAGAAACTAGGTCACAGAGAGGGATGTGCAGGTTATTAGAGTATGTGGGTCAAGTTTAAACTTTGGTTTCAGATGGAAGCTATTGGAAGAGGATATGATCTTATTTATACTTTGGAAGGAGGAAAGGGCGAAGGAAAGATATCTTTCCTTTGACTACAGAAACCTCTAAGCCCTTGATCTTTCCATATCCTTTTATTTTCTATGTTCCTTTTTAATTTAGTTCCTTTTCTTCTAATTCAGGATTTCATATTTATCATTTAGTATATACTCGCAGCAACTCAAATAACTCCTGTGAACCTCTGGTTTCGAGGCGCCCTACTTGCTAAATCCTAATCCTAGAAACTCCTTAAATTGTGTTATGCTGCTACTTTTGCTTAAATTTACTTACGCTCACTTCTATGGGAAATCAAATATTCCTTTAATGTTTTCTAAACATAAAATACAATGGTGATTACCAAATCATTTTCCTGTATTTGGTCATATACCTCTCGCCCTTTCCTAGTTTGGACCTTTTTCTTAATTTAGACTCAGAGATTCAGCCCTGTCCTGAACTCTTCTATCTGCAGTGGCATTAACCATGTCTGTTTCATAAATTACAAGATTTCTTAGTCAGCTCCAGCTGCCCTAACAAAGTACCACAGATTGAGTGGCTTAAACAGCACACATTTATTTGTCACAGTTCTGGAGGCTGGGAAGTCCAAGGTCAGGGTGCCAGCAGAGCTCTTGGTGGGGGGCATCTTCCTAGATTGTAGAGCTGCCTTCTTCCTACATCTTCCCATGGGGGAGGGAGGAAGCTCTGGTGTCTCTTCCTCTTCTTAGAGGGGCGCTAATCCCATTATGGGGGACCTCATCTAAACCTAATTGCTTCCTAAAGGCCACACCTCATAATAAACACATTGGGCGGTAGGTAGGGCCTCAACATATGAATTTGTGGGGACACAAACATTCATGCCATAACATAGGGTAAGTCCCTGAAGGGCAGAAATAGGATATTGTCACTTTGTATTCCCAATGCCCCAGAAGGATTCATGTTATCTGGTAGGCAGTGATCTTTTGTTCTACGTCTGGTCAGGTGCCGTACATTTCATTTTAGTAATTCACACAGAAATATAACACAAAATGTCTTTTTAGTGAAATAAATAAACATCATGGATTTCATCATTGACTGTATACCATGCCTTCATTGTAGGAGAACTGAAGGTAGAGGAGGAGGAGGAAGAAGAAAAAGAGGAGGAGGAGGAGAAGGAGGAAAAACATCCAGCATAAACATCACCATTAATATCCATTCACAGGTTGCATCCTTACGCCACCAATTTAAGGTCACAGCTGTGAAACAGCGGTAGCTCTTAGTGATTTTTCCCTTGTAAATGAAAGACCTGACATTGTTCAAACAGTATGGTGGTTGTTTATAGAGGATAAGATATCTGTTTTGCTTAATTATAAAATATCAGGATATATTCTGGTCCATCAAACTTTTAAAATGACCTTCTGTTCCTGGAGGATGAAACTATAATTAACACAAGGAGGTTGCTCTTGTGTTTAGAGTCCACTATTCTTCCTTCCCACTGTCATACATAATCCCTACATTTCCTACGACGTTGAAGCGTTGACGTTGAGAATGATGGGTGGAATAATGCTTATGTTTTGGTGTCCCAAGCTAAAATCTGGGTAAGTTAAGTTTAACTGTAAGTTTTAAATGTGTATGTTAGCATCTGTCAGGTTTTATTACTGGCAATTTGTGTTTGTTGTCATTGTGTGCTTGTGCCTTTGGAGCATTAGTTCACATTTTCTAAACTTAGGCTATGAATTTCATAGATTTGTTAAAATAGATTCTAGTAACATTGGCTAAATGAATCCGTGAATCCATGGAGGGAAGAAAGGAAGGGAAGAAAGTCAATGAGGAAAGAGACATAAAAGAAACAAGAAAGGAAAGAAGAAAATCATTTGACATTTCCAAAATGAATAAAGCAAGGTTTATTTTTGAAAATCAGACTATTTCAATGCTTACTAAACTATATATATGCATCATTTTCCCAATGAGATTTTATGAAGATTGGGTATGTTTTGGACTTGAGAAGAGACTATACGTCTATGATGCTTAGAAATCAATGAAAAAAGAGCAAAAAGCACCATTTAAATTGAATTTGACTTTAATTCTTGACTTGCATTGTAAATCTTTTAATTATTTTGAAAACGACCTTGAAAAAAAGAATAATTTTTAATGGGATGTTCAAATATAGCATAGAAGATTCACTTAGTAAATATTTCCTTAAAACACCTGAATCAAAATTAAACCTTAAGTCCTATTAATGGGATCAAGTCTATAGGCAATACATTTGTGATTTTATGATGTGGCTTCTTAAACTTTATGGCCCACAGAGAATTATGTAGAGATATTGTCCAAATGAGATTCCTGGTGTGCCTCCATGATCCTGATGCGTGTTTGGGGAGAGACAATATGTATTTGCATTTCCAACAAATTCTCAGGAGATACTGATTCTGAGGGTCGCAAATATAGCACACTTTGAGTAACAATGGACTAGGATATATAATTTATTTAAACTTTGAAAATGATTTGGCGATATTCAGTTATGAGTGCATTGAGTTATCCAACCAGTAGCAAAGAGGTCAGCTTTTTTTTTTAAGATTTTATTTTTTCTTTTTTCTCCCCAAAGCCCCCCGGTACATAGTTGTATATTCTTCGTTGTGGGTCCTTCTAGTTGTGGCATGTGGGACGCTGCCTCAGCGTGGTTTGATGAGCAGTGCCATGTCCGCTCCCAGGATTGGAACCAACAAAACCCTGGGCCGCCTGCAGCAGAGCGCATGAACTTAACCACTTGGCCATGGGGCCAGCCCCAAGAGGTCAGTTTTTAGTCTACATTAGCCTAGGGACTTAGTGAGACCAAATGTTTCCTTCTCTCTATTATAATCATGTCAATTCATGGGTTCCACTGAGGAACATGAGCACCTAAAGACACAGAGGAAGTAAAGTATCTTGCAAAAAATATGCATCTGGTTACTACGGGAGATGTATAGCACTGAGCTTGTGTAGTCATTTGATTTGAAAAACAGGAATTATTTTCTCATGCAATACTGAAAAGATTACCAAATTTTTACAAACATTTGAATATACTTTCAGATGTAAAATATTTTAAAGTCAATAGAATAACCATACAATTTAATAATCTGTAGGCCCACATTAGAAATAAATGACGACTCATTTTCCATGACAGTTATCACCATTTGTTAGGCAACAGGGAACATTTTAAGAAGATGATATAACTTTTGACATGGATTTGTTCCATCTCAAGCATGCACGTGTTGAAATACACTAGGTGGTGTTCTACGGAAGCATTTTTACCATTTCAATTCATTTCTACACTTGATTTACTCCTGCAAACTTATCCTTTTGTCTTATTCACACATGCCGAGACCACACTGGGATTAACATTTGCTGGGTCCATTTGGTTCCTGATCACTGCTTCACAGTCTTCTATTGTAAAATCACCCTGTTAAGTTTTATTCTTGGGAACTGTGGGAACAGATTTTGGGCATTATTTTCAGTTCCATAACATGATCTCATAATTGACGTGATTGAGAAAAACAAATGGAGGACGTCAGTGTGTTTAAATAGGTGAGTCCTCTAGAAAAGCCCATCATTTCTTAGGGCTTCAGAGTTTCAGCTTCTCTGACTTTGGAGTCTCCTCTTTGGTGAAAGGTAATATATTCATGTACAATCTAATATGATGTCTTTTCTAATATTTTGTTTGCTAGAGTAAGTTGAAAATAAATTTGTAAAATGTGTTTTATTGATTGATAGTTTCTCATGAAAAAACAATTTAAAGAAATGATAATTTTATAGCGGAATCTGAAGGTGAGTTCAGGCTATCAATGCCTCTGAGTTGACAGCAATCATTTTACAAAGTGGACGATGTGGAAAATGGAGGAGACGTGCTCTATCTTCTTCTTTGGTGGGATACCTAGAAGTTCTGTTTTTGGCTAAATATATGATATCCAATTTGTTAATAATTACTTTTTGGGGCCAGCCCAGTAACGCAGCGTTTAACTGCGCACGTTCTGCTTCGGCGGCCCAGGGTTCACCGGTTCGGATCCTGGGTGTGGACATGACACCGCTTGGCAAAAGCGATGCTGTGGTAGGCGCCCCACATATAAAGTAGAGGAAGATGGGCACGGATGTTAGCTCAGGGCCAGTCTTCCTCGGCAAAAAGAGGAGGATTGGTGGCAAATGTTAGCTCAGGGCTAATCTTCCTCAAAAAAAAAAATTACTTCTACATTTAACTTCAAGTTGAAATTTAAATTTTATAAGAAAATGATCTCTTGAGTTGCATAAGCTCTCTTTTTGCAAATGTATGTGTTAATTCAAGGTTTAAGTAACCTTTTTGAAAGTTACTTTATTGACACTGTAATTCATTTTGCAAAGGTATTCAGGTCCTCTACATCATTCAAAGTCATTTCTGGTTTTCTGCATAATTAACACCGTATAATTATTTTGTTTCAATAATTCATTTTACTTACATTTTCATTCTCTTTGCAATTTTGTCAGAAAAAGAAAGTTTTTACAATTTCAAACTTTTATCATTGTGTTCTTTGGGAAATATTTTCTCACAGCCCTTATGTTATCTATCTGTCTGTCTATCTATCTACCAAAGACAACTCTTAGAATTTCCCTCAAGTCACCACTTTCAATATAATTCCAAGTATAAACAACACTAAGAGTTACATCCTTTTTTGTCCCATAATATGACTGAATATTTGATTTAAGTAGTAAATGATAGAAAAACTTTGTCAAGAAATATGTAATTTTCACAGTTTGTCTAATGCCACAGTGATGAATTTAAACCAATGAGGCGAAATGAGCAGATAAGGAACAAGCGAAAGACCATCAGTCCTGAGTCCTGCTTCATATGTTTGAGATTTAGAGTCATTTAGCAGAAGAATTAGACAAAAGATGAGACTGGAATGTTCTATCAAAATTGGTGGCCAAAAATGATCAGGAAGAAGAAAGGCCTTTATCCATTGTTTACCTTTCAGTTTGCAACATACTTTTCTTCAATGCCTATAAGTCAAAAATAAATCATCAACTTCTTCTTTTTCAACAGCAACAAACTGAGTTCACTTGCAGATACAGAATTACAAAAACATATCAAGGAGTCCCAGAGGAGGTTAATTTTCTTGAATAAGGTCATTTGGCAGATTAAATCATTTTTACCAATTGGATTTCTCAAAGTATCTACAAACATTTCTTGTGAAACTTCTTTTCAGTTTGATTCTTCTCTACCCAGTATCATTAATTTTTGAACACCAGGGTTACACCACCTAAAATTTTCGAGCCAGAAACCTGGCTCATGTTCACTAACTCTACCATAAGACCAGTCCCTGCATCTTGTCATTCCAACTTCTAAACATTTCTTTCAATTCCGCCTCAATTATTACCCCTGATATCATTATATAAGGCCACTATAACCTCACAACCATCTAGGTGGTTAGCCTGGCTCCATTTTTGTCCTTCTTACAGCTGAACTATTTTACTTCCTACGTGCTATCTTTTCTCTCATTTCTGTTTCTCTGAAGGTTCCCAACATCTCTCTTTATTCATCCCATATCGTGTAACACAAGCTTACCTTTCTTTACTTTAATACCTCCATTCTCTCCAACACGTTAAGATGTGCACATCCATTTTATGTGTTTTTATAGCACTTTAGTGTTTCCATATCAGAGCATTTGTCTTTATTTGTCAATGTCCCCCACTAGTCTCTAAGTTCCACGATGTCAGGCAACGGATTTCAGTTGTCTTCGTATTTCTAGTATGTTTCACAATGCTTTGGAGCTTAGTTTGATTAACAAATGCTTGATTTGTCATCCAGGAATGAATGTGCTACTGATTTTTCATATATGCTTTCACAGGACTCAGCCAAACATGAAGATCCTTGCATTTGCCTTTATCTTGGCTCTCTTGGTTGCCATGATTGTAAGTATATCAAGAGAGTTTGAAGAATATATTCTCAGCAATTCTCTAAAACATTCCTCTTATTTCCTGGGTTCTGGCCTATATTTGAATTTATCTGTACATGGCTTTATAAAGTTTAATGTTTTCATATGGACATTTTACTGGAACTCACCTATGTAAGTTTATCAAGGATATTGATAAATCTTGAGTATTCACACACAGATGAGTGTAATTAGCTTAATTTAAGAATAGAATTTTTGAGAGCTCCATGGAGATGTGAAACTGAGAGGCTGATAAAAGACACTTAAATATCAAAATCTCTAGACCTACCAAATGTCAGGAGCTCCCAACTAGTATTGTCATTCACTACTGTGTGTCCAGACAAAACAATTGACTTCTCTGAAACTCCTTCCTCTTCCCCCTCCTTCTCCTCCTCTTCTCCACCCACCTCTGTTTCTTCTTTGGTTAAAAATAACGGTTCTTTTCACTTTGTTATGCTTTGTCTAGTTACTGTGAAATACATCAAAAAATAATAATATTTCATTTCATCCAACAAGTTCTAGTAGATGTTTCGAAAACAAGTTGGTTTTGACATCCCACTTTATTACATTATGTTTTTATAAAAGAATAGAACTGGAAAAAAAATAAAAATTAGGAAGAACTGAGAAAAACATAACATCAGACTCTATTAGCACAACTAATACTTGAATGTAAGTAGCTTTTGAGCTGCTCAAAACGTTTGCGTATAAAAACCATCATCTTGAGCAAATCCAAAGTTTAACTTTTCATTTTTCACTCTTCCCTTCACAGTAACAGATATTCTTCCCTTTCACACATAGAAGAAATTTGAAACAAAGTGCATTGATATCTGACGGTAGCAAATTATTTCTAGCAAAAACTTACTCTTCACTCATTTTAAAGATTTCATTACACAAAAAAGAAGCGAATTTAGTGCATCAGTAACCCAAGAGTTTGTGTCCATTTTATTTAATCGTAAATGTAGCAGCTAAGTGTATTTTTATACTCTGGAGTTATAAAATTAAGATGTTAACTATTTTCTTCTTTTCTTTTTTCCAAGGGAGCTGATTCATCATCTGAAGAGGTAAGACACTTTCACTTACTAGAAAAATAGAAATTGAACATGTATTCAATTTTTAATTTGTTCTTTATTTTCACAGAGACGTCATTATCGGCGTAGAGGAGAATACCATGTAAATATTCCTCTCATCATGTGGTGGAGTATAAACATGTTTTCTTCCATGAGTATTTATTCTATAATAAGAACCAATACTTATCTCTGACATATAGCTATAGAATGAATGATTCAAATATACAGTGAGTTTATTTATTTATGATACACGGATAAAGCACCCCAATGTCTTGTGTACCAGTAGCACTTAGGTGGATACTCATAATGCTACCCTATAGAAGCCAATTATTCTCTCAGATCTTAAGTGTCTTTGCTGGCAAAGAATTGCCTTGACTAAACGATTCGTTGAAATTCTGATTCTGTTAAGAATAACATTTGCCTAATGGAGCATAGAGGCTGCTAAAAACACATCTGGTGTGGTAAATTTCCGCCTTCTGATTCTTTTGGAGGGTGGTGAAATCATTAGGTGAAACTGACCGTGTTAAATAAGATAGAACATTTCATTTATTTGACATTTTTCTGAATGAAATGTATCTTTGATATCTCATATTATTTTGTCACGTCATGTTAATGTGATAAGATCTTACCAAAAATTGATCTTACTAATGTAGTAAAGAGATCAATTTAAAATGTCACCAAATAAAATGATGAGAAGGAGAGTTAAAGGTTATTTGGGTTATCAGAGGTAAATATCAAGGAATGTAGGAATTTTAAGAAGAAATAATCTCCTTATAAGTCAAAAGTGACAAGTAACAATTCCCTCGAAGCTGGAATTAAATTGTTCCATCCTGGAATAGTCAAGGACAGGCAATGTAGTAGCTTGGAGGTAATATTATAAAGAATATATAAACCTTTCTTGAGTGGTTGGCAATAATCAATGCTCCATGTGTATTATAAAACAACCAAATTGTCAACCATTAATAAAAATGGAAACTCTTTATCATTTCTCTTTTCAACGTCTTTCTCATAAAAAAGGGAAAATCTCACCAACTATTTGAAATACAATCATGGAGATGATAAATATAAGGTCCTGCCAACTTGAACAATCTAAGTTTTTTAAGTGAAATGATTGTGAAATATTTGCACCGTCTCTGTCTCAATTTTCTGCCATGTTCTCTTTGCTTTTGTTTGTATACAGAGAAGGGATGACCGATCTCTGCCAAATCAAGGAAATCCAGCCTATCCTCCATTTCCAAAAAATAACCGCAATCCTTTTCCAAATCCAAACCCAAATCCTTAGAATGCTGCTCAGCACCACAGGACAGGATTACAGAGGTAAGCTGGGTCAGCTAACATTTTATGTTCCCCAGACAGATCAATGGTGACAGAGCAAGAAAAAAACAAAGCAAGTCATCAAACCAAAAGCAGCCCCAGTTTAAGAAGTGTAGCCTGGTGTAGCTCTCCTGAGGTGTATTTATTGATCTAAATGTTACCAGAAGAATACTTCTGTCCTACTACGGTGAGGAGGTTCAGCTTTGGGGACAGGAACACCTGTGTTTCTATCGTGATCCTGACAACTGCTAGTTTCATGACCTTGAGCTATTCTTTTGTTTTTGAAATCTCAATTTTCTCATGGATAGAACAGATGTTATAATAGTACTTAACCATCTGTAGAATAGGTGAGACCATTAAACCACATAGTACATAAAAGCCCTTGATCAACATTGTCTGTGACTGCAGGCTGCCCTGCCACTCAGGCTGTGCCCTGGATGTTGTTTAAAACTTATTCTTCTAAATGTACTCTTTGGGGCAGCCATGCAAGCCCCCATGGAAACTTGTCAGAAATTTAGTCTGAAGCCACATCCAGACTATTGAATACGAATCTGCGTTTTAACAGATTCTTATGTGGTTTATAACAGCACAAATTTTGAGAAGCTTTGCCTTGAGCAATTAGGATAGAGATCACTGCTCTAATATTGTACCAACAACAAGATAAGGAAATATTAGCAATCCATGTTTTAAAAAGTCAATTTTACCTAAAATAAACTATATGTTCCAAATTTTATGAAAGATTCAATATTTCCCACCAAAATAAAGCAATACTTTTGGAGATAAAAGAAGACAGCCTTAGAATTCAAATTTAAAATAGTTGCAAGGATTTCAATTCTTTTAAATGCACGTGAAGTATTTCTTCCAATGGAATTCGCTATTGCCATTAATGACAGGGCCAAGAGTCTGCACTTGACTCCCTAGGCATTAGGTAATAGCTGAGGATAGTTGATCAAGAAATGGTATATCAGAAATATTATTTTGAGGAGATAAATATGTAGGCTCCTTTTAAGCAGAGGGGTGGAAGGGCTGAAATAGGTTGGTATTAGAAAAACTTAAAAGAAACAAGAAACATGAAAAAGAGTGCCTAGGAAAGGCTATCAATCAATTTCATGATGGACTGAATGAAAGCCCAAATCAGGAAATGAGAAAAAAGAAATGGATGCAAGTCGTCAGGATTAGATTAGCAAACAAAAGTGCAGGGCACATTTGCCTTTCAGAAGAGAGACAACACTCTGCTGTTGTTTGACTGTTTCTTTGTTTTTGTTTTTCTTGTTTCCTTCAGGGAATTTTGTTTAATGCATATGTTTTGCTTGATTGAAGTAGGGGATGCTGAAGAAGATAATTCTGTTACGTTAAGTCTGAGAGACAATAGCATTCAAACTGAAAAGCTAAGTGGGCTAAAATACAGAACTGAATCACTGAACCTCATGTCAGAAGTGACAAAGGGAGGAAAAGATGATAGAAATTCCTGCAATGAATATTTCCCAAGTCCCTTAATTATAAGGAAAAGTAATAGCAGCTTAGTATAGAAACAGTTTGACTATTGGAAATAGAGGAGTTCTTTAAAAGTTTGGAAAGAAATAATTAGAAATAGATACTTTTTGTTGTATTATTGTTTTAGGAAACAAGATTCCAAAGAAATTTGTATTCATTCAGTTATCAGATATTTCTTGACCACATCATGAGCATGCAATGAGATAGCCAAAGTGGATATAAACACCAATAGGCCAGAGACTCTGTACTCAACACTTATGATCTAGTTCTAATCGTGGATATTAAATCAATCATCAGTCAGAATATCATTTGATTAAGAAGTGATGTGATTGGATTGTTATTCAGGCATATCACGCAAGCGGTAGTATGGCAGCTAGAGAGAGAGGGAGTATAGACACAATAAAGAAGTCCATGGGGAAACTGTCAAAGTAATTTAGTATGTGTAATAAGAGCTTGAACTAAGAAATAAGTAGTATAGACAGGAGCAATTTCCTCTAAACTAGAGTCTGATTAGGTAATTACTTTGAATAATTTTGGTAACGCTTTTTCATGTGAATGTTCTTAACCAAGGCACAGTTTTTGGTCAAGGATGTTTTGTTGTATCAAATCAAAACAAATCCAAACTTCGACAAGGAGAGTCTTGACTCAGAATAAAGTCTTTTGCAATAGGGAGAACTCTCAAATCTCAGCAAACATCTCAATATCAAAGAGAAAAAGGCTTTTCTTTTCTTCGATAGGGTAAGGTAAGCAATGATTAGTAAAAACTTTCAAGGGGAAATTGGGCACACGAGGGGAAAGGAGCAGCAGTCTGTGACAGGCAAAGTGTCCACTGTAGTCAGCTAATTCTCAGGATAAGCTGGTAACGGGGCACGTTCCACTTCTTAGTGCTTACTCAGGCTCGGGAGTAAGCAGAGTTCAGGGGCACCCAGGAAGGAGAGAATTCTAACATTTGATGGAGAAAAGCAGGGGGTAACAATTGGGCAACTGAATGCTTGGTCCATCACCAAGGGATATATTTACCTAACACTCAGAAACAAGAAAGCATAAGGGTATTAGCGATGACTTAATCTGAATGTTTTCTCTTTACCCACAGGCTTGGCGGAAAGTCGGATTTGCTCCGTGCTCAGGATGATTCTTCCTACTCAAAAACCCTTTACCCAACTTGCAACATCATATTAGCCCTCATCTAAAGAATACAGCCGAAATGCTTTTAAAAAAATTTTTTATAAAATAATTCAAAAAAGCAGAGTATTATCTGGGTTCTCTTATGTATGATATTGCAATTTAAAAATAATTAGACCCATAAATAATTTTCCAAAACCAAAGAAATTTCAATCAAATACTGTTACATGAACAACACACCTGAGATCGATGATCAATATTTTAAACAGTAGTAATAATATTCTCTGAACTATTTGATTTTCTATACTTTGTTCTCTGTATTAATTGTACTATGAAAATCAAAAAAAAAAAAAAAAAAGACTTGCCCTGCATAATAAAGTGATCTATCAGCATGTCCTGAATATGTGCTTTTATTTCTCACTGTATTAGTTTCTCAGGGCAGCCATATCAAAGTAGTCAAACTGGTGGCTAAAAACAACAGGCATTTCTGTTCTCCTAGTTCTGCAGGCAGGGCCTGGCTCTCTCTGACAGCTCTAGGGCATGGTCCTTCTTTGCCTCTTCCCAGTTCCTGACTGTTACTGGAAATCCTTGTCATTCCTTGGTTTCTAGATGCATCCTGCAGTCTGTCTCTGTTGTTACAAAGCTGTCTTCTCCTTCTGGGTCTCTCTCCTCTTCTCATAAGGACATCTGTCATATTGGATTAAGAGCCTGCCGTACTCCAGTAGGACCTCATTTTAACTAATTCCATCTGCCATGACCTGTATTTCCAATAAGATCAGATTCTGAGGTATTGGGAGTTAGGATTTCAGCATATCCTTGAGGGAGGGACACAATTGAACACACCACCTCTCTTAATCTTGGTTCTCATTAAGTTTTTCTGCAACAATTATATGCCAATACTTCTAATAGTCTTCAGTTTGTCAATATTTCTCAAGGAAAGACATACAGTACTATTTCATAATCTTCTGGAACAGTGATTATAGAAGGAAGCAGGTTAAAACACATCTGAGTGGGTATTGAAAGGGAAAGAAAATCATGCAGCCAGTCTCATTTTAACTTTGAAATGTACTGCACTACAGGAATTTCAATCCATGTAGTTTGCATGAAATCGCTAGAATACTAATCAGAATCTTGACTTTAATTCTGAGTATACTTACAAAGAAAACTTAGTCACTTTTAGCAAGCAACTGGAAAGAAACCTCAGCTATACGATGATTATAAATATTGGCAGTTAAAAATCTACAAATTATGCCAAACTATAGCTTTTATGAGATAGAAAGTTGGACTCAGAAAATTCTTGGAGGCAGGGCCTCTCTTCCTGAGAAAAGCAGCCAAAACTGAAGACCAATCTCCACTCCCCAGAGGACCGCACACAGCAGACAGGCCCACTGTTGGGAGCAGCAGAGACATGGAAAGGAATGAGAAGAGGGCTGAGGATCAGAGGGAAGGGAAGCCGGTAGAATGCTGAGTTATGTGTGCTGTATGTTCTCTCTGAAGTGCCTTTTGACTCTCCACTTGACATTCAAAATGCTACTCTTTGTCATACTCCTCCAGTTTCAGTTGATTTTATTGTGCATTTGCTCAGATTCAAAACCTAAGAATAATCATTGATTTTTTTTTCTCCTCAGCCCTTTGCTTTTTACTTATAAGCAATGTATATCTTGGAGTGGTTCCAAAATATAGATGTCTTTGAAAAGGCAAGAGGTCATATAGACGTTCTATCCATCAGGCACTGTTAAGAAATTAGGCACCGAGGATTAAATTTTCTTTGTGGCTTTCTTTTGGAAGAGACTGGTTATTAGTATCAGCTTTAAGATATCTGATCAATGGCCTGCCACTCAAATAAGCATGCTTACACATCTCTCTCTTTTTTTTGTTTTGAGGAAGATTAACGCTCACTAACATCTGCCATCAAGTCTGCTCTTTTTGCTGAGGAAGACTGGCCCTGAGTTAACATCTGTGCCCATCTTCTTCTATTTGATATGTGGGACACCTGCCACAGTACAGCTTGACAAACCGTGCGTAGGTCAGCACCTGGGAACCGAACCAGCGAACCTGGGCCTCCAAAGCAGAACTTGCAAACTTAACTGTGGCACCACTATCCTGGCCACACTATCCAGCCCCCACATCTTTTTCTTTCCAATGTTTTCATTATGACCTTCCCACTTTCTGGTGACATGATTCTGACCAAGTACCTTAGCCTATCTGAACACCACATTTTCTTGGGTGACCATATCCCAAAGCAGTTTCTGGAAGAATTAATGTAATAACAAAAATAATTGCACCAACACAATGCCTGACACAGAGCAAACACTTGAAAATGGCTCGAGGGCTTAAGTGCTTTCCCACAAGTACTTTTATTCAATCTTTGAGCAATCCTATTGAAGCAGGTATTATTACATCCAGATAAAGAATCCAGCATTGCACAGAATTAAGTTACTTGCCCCAAATCACACAATGAGTAAATTGTTAGAGGAAAAAAAAAAATCAATATTCAGGTCCATTAAATTCCAAAGTCCATGCTCTTTTTAATCCTCCCACACAGCTTATACTAGTTTCCTATTGTTGCTGTAACAAATTATCAGAAACTTAGTGGCTTAAAACTACACAAATTATATTTTACTATTTTTAAACCAATATATTGAAGTATGATTGACATGCAAGAGCTGTACATATTTACTGCATACAACTCAATGTGTTTGCGTATAATTGGACACCTGTGAAACCATCACCACCATCAAAACCATAGACATATCCATTCACCTCCCAAAATTTACTCCTATCCACTTCATTATTATAATCATCACTATCATTATTATTATTTGGTATATATATGTGTGGTAAAAACTTCATTTAAGATCTACCCTTTTAGCAAATCTTACTACAATATTGTTATAAGCATTATGCTATGTAGTATGTCTCCGGAACTTATCTTGCATGACTGAAACTTTCTACCCTCTGACCATGACCTTCTCTTTTCCCCCTTCTCCCAGTCCCTGAGTATAACCATTCTGCTCTGTGCTTCTATGATTTGACTCTTAGTTTCTACCTACAAGTGAGATGATATAGTATTTGTATTTCTGTATTTGGTTTATTTCACTTAGCATAATGTGCTTCAGGTCCATCCATGTTGTCACAAATGGCAGGAATTTTTTCTTTTTTAAGGCTGAATTATATTTCACTGTGTGTATACACCACATTTTCTTTATCCACTCATCTCTCAGTGCACAATTAAGTTATTTCCACAACTCAGCTCTTGTGAATAATGCTGCAAAGAACATGGGAGTATAGGTGTCTCTTTGAGATCTTGATGTCGTTTCCTTTGGATAAATACCCAGAAGTGGAACTGTTGGATCATATGGTAGCTCTATTTTTAATTTTGGAGAAACCTCCAAACCGTTTTCCATAACCGCTGCATCAATTTACATTCCCACCAATGGTGCACAACAGTTTCCTTTTCTCCACATCCTCACCAACACTTATTGGTTTTTTTTGTGATGGACATCCTAAAGGAAATCTTGTAAGTGCCACCTTCAATTGCCTCATCACCTTTAGTGTTGTTGTCATATAATTTAGTTCCAATAGGTAAAATCTTACACAGTGCATTCTTAGTACTTTTGTTTTAAAGATACATTTATCTGTTAAAGAGTTTTAAGATATAAGAAATTAAGATGCTTCATATTTGCCCTCTATATTTCTTGTGTGCTTCCTGTGGGGAGATACAGTTTTCCGAGTGGTTTCATTTCCCTTCTGCCTGAAGGATTTCCTTTAATATTTCTTCCAAGGCAAGTCTCCTGGTCATTAATTCTTGCAGCTTTTCGGAGTCTGAAAAAATTAATTTGTCTTCATTTTAGAAGTATATTTCACTTGAGAAGTTATGGGATTTATTTGGCAGATTATTTTCCTTTCAGTATTAAAATTTTGCAACTCTTCTCTGGCTTTACAAAATCAAGCTAGCTGTCATTCGTATCTTTGCTATTCTGTACACGATGTGTCTTTTTCTTTCTGGCTACTTTTAAATGTTATCTTTATGACTGCTTGAAAGCAATTTGATCATGATGTGTTTGACGTTTCTTTCATGCTCTTCACTTGTCATTGGTTGAGTTTCTTGATTTATAGATTACAGCTCTCCTAACATTTGGAAATTTTTCAGCTATTTATGTATTCAAATATTTTTCCTAGCTGCTCCTCCTCACCTTCTCTTCAATTACGTATTTACTAACACAAGTTGTCCCACAGCTCATGGAGCACTGATGTTTTTTTTTTTCAGTTTCTTGGATCATGTTATTTTGGACAGTTTTACTGCTCTATTTTCAAATTCCCTAATCATTTCTTCTTCAGTAAAATTTTTAGTGTCCTAATCTTTTTTTCTAAACATGCTATTAATTATATTCAGTGTACTTTTCATCTTAGACGTATTTTTCCAAGTGCATGCTCTCCTCTATTTAAACGTATAGAATATAGTTACAAGTATTTTGATAGGCTGGCTTACTAATTCCGTCGCTTGTGTCGCTTCTACATCTGTTTCTATCTATCAAGTTTTCTCTTCCTTATGAGTCATATTTCTCTTCTTTTGTACACGCCTGGTCATTTTGATTCCATCTTTTCTGGGTGCTGATTTTTTTTTATTCCTTTAAATAGCATTGACACGTTCTGGGTCACAATGAAGTTACTTATAAACAGTGAAGTTACTTGTAATGGTTTCATCCCGTAGAGGCTTGCTTTTAAGCTTTATTAGGCCATCAAGGGCAGACTACCCTTTCACTTCGACCTAAATGTCACCTACTGTAAAGCATTCTAACAATGTCAATGTCATGTAGATTGCAAGGCATCTCCACTCTGGCTGTGGTATCAGGGTCTGTTCTCAGCCCCGTTTCAGCTCCAGGGCTTGGACAACCTGCTTCTTGCTCATGTTCTGTGCCCAGCCTCATGGAGTTTCCTCACGCTTGTTTGTGCTCATCAAGATCAGCAGAAGATTAAGGGCAACCATCTGTAGATCCCGATTCCTTTCTCTGTGCCGTCCTCTCCTGTCTTTGCAATTTCCTCCTGTTCAGTATTCCACTGTGTTAATTGTAGACCTTTACCTCCACTAACCTCAGTTATTTCTCTTCAATTCAGGGGAATTGCCTAGTCTTTTAAGCCCCACCTTCCTGTGCTGCAGTTTGTAAGTTCTTTCCAGGTAGCGAGCTTGGACAATGACAGGACTTACCTTGCTTTCTACCCTTTTCTTGAGGATCATGTCCTACATTTCTTATTGTATAATATCTTAAAATTGTTGTGTCACATATTTGGTTCTTTTTTCAGTTATCTAAAGCAGGGAGAGAAATCCAATCCCTGATATGCAATCATGGCCACAGAAGCTGAATTCCAGAGTAGAAGTCTATTGAAGTCCTCCCACTGC